TGAATCCTAACTCCACCACTTACGGTGTCATGCTCATCCTCTCCTGGGCCTCATTTTCCTCCCACAAGGAAAATGATAGAACTTGCTTAAAAGACAATTGAGATAGCTGGATGAGGTAATGCCTGCAAATAACAGAGCAGAGTGTCTGGCAGCAAACACTCAATAAAACCTTGACTTTTATTATTAATACATTTTTACAGTTTGTAATAATTTGAACATTACGGAAGTGTGGAAATCCTCCATTATTCCACCCGCACGGCCCAAGATACTCACTACAACAGTTTGGTGCCTAGTCCTCCCCTCCCCCTCCCCACTTGGAGTCTTTGTGATTTTCTTGCCTGTTTGTATGGACTCCTCATATTGCAAATTGCAATCCTTTGTCTTCATATTTGCGGAATATTTCCCCCAATCTATTGCTTATTTTTGTTTTGATTATTGGCTTGAAGGTCACTTGGAGGTTTGATAAATAAGATTGTATAGCCTATGCGAGGGAGATTTCCGCCCGTTCCCAGCCTGATCGCCTTTCCCTGAGGAAGTTCGGGGTGAGGGGCATGGACAGTATCCAGATTTCAAGGAGAGAGCTGTGATTGGGTGCCCAGTGTCACTGACCGTCATGGTGGCACCTTCTGAGATGCCCTCGTTCCCATCTGCTCTTCAGTGCTGGGTCCATGCAGGTGCCAACCTGAGGCCTCTTCAGGTCCTCTGTCTGCCAGGGCCACCTCTGGGACCCTCCTGACCACAGCGACGCTCCTGTGCTGTTCTGACAGAAGCTCGGGCCTGTGGGAAACACTGAGGCGGACTCGCGCCTTAACCTCCATACGCTGCACCTCATTTCCCCTCTCCTCCCCTGCGCTGGGCTGAGCGGCAGGAACTCGGGGGGCCTCTCTGGGTCCTTCTATTCTTCAGTTTTCATGTGTGTCTTCCCAGGAAGTGTCAGGGCCCCATCTGAACAACTTTTTTAGGTAGGTAAATATTTGTGTGCAAGAAGTTAGAGCCAGTTGGACTTTGGGGAACAACAGCGCCGATCGGGCAGAGGGAGGGACTGAGCTGGGTGCAGCTGCAGCAGAGGCCTCCACCAATTCCTCAGGGAGCTCTGAAGGTGGATGGCCCCTCAGAGTTATCCTCAGTTGAGACAAGGGGGCGGACCTTTGTTCTTCCGCATAGAAGAATCATTATTACTGGTGTTCTCCAGGGAGGGGCCATAAGCTTGGGCAAGGCAGAGCCTCGCAATTTCTGCAGAAGACTGAGGTGAGAGCCGTCAGCAGTCAACACTCCTGGAAACTAGACAGAATGAGTGTTCAGTCCTGAAGGGGGATGTGGGCAGCCTCCACAGCATCCCCCACCCTGGCCCTCTGGACTTCGAGCTTTCTTTGTGGCCCCAGCCCCTATAACTCTTTTCACTCCTCAGGGCACAGAATTTTTATCTACTCTGTCGGGGTAGCCTGGATTTTTTATATTCTTAATTCATTGTGTTTGCCCCCAGGCCTGGGATTTTGAAACTCCAAAGCCAAAAATGAGCTTCCTTTGTTATTTACATTCTGCTGTGTCATTTCTTCTGTGAGACAACAAAACAAAGTGCCTCGCTGCCTACATGTGGGGCTGGGAGAGGATAACAGGAACACCAGGACAAAGGTTCAATGTATTACCTGCCGCATTCGGGAAACAATACGCAACGTGCGCCTAACATTAACATGATGCCAACAACCCGAAGTGACGCTTCGCAGGTTCTTCTTACCTAGTGAGACTCAGAGAAGAGAGCGTATGCTCAAAAGGGCGCCAGAGCACATCTTGCTAGGGAAAACATTTCAGAATCTCCAAGGGATGGGGTGAGAAGGGATTGGTGAGGTCTTTATGTTTAGCCAAAGAGAGAGCATAGTTATTTATAAATATGAGAACATGGCAAAAGAGTGAGGTCTTTTCAGAGGCGAGAAGAGATGGGACCCAGAGAACAGAATGGTCCTTAGCAGGAGGAAGGAAAGCTCTTCCATTTTAGCTGGAGGGAAAGAGGAAAAGTGGGAGATGTGTAGGAGGAATGGCAGGTCACTATAGAGTCCTCTTCAAGTGACGTCTTTCACTGAGACGTTGGAGGCAAGGTCGTGTGATGACAGTGAAAGAGGCAATACACTCGTGGAATTTTGAGGAGAGAGGAGAACTTTGAAATAGCCCCATGGAAAGCAAGAGAAAGCTCTTCTCAGAGACATATGGAAGGATGGGTGGCAGTGCAGGAGCCCCACAGAGACAGGCACCACTGGCTGAGGTTGGGAGAGTTTCTCTAGCACTGAACAGCACAGGTACGGGTTCAGATAAAGAGGAGTGAGGATTTATTTATTAGTTTTTACTTTTGTTTTTACTTTTAATTAAAGTGTAACATACACATAGAAGAGCGCATACCTTGTATAGAGCTTGATGGAGGCACACAATGAAGGTGCTTGCATACCCAGCATCCTAGAACCTCCTATACTAGTTTGCTAGGGCTGCTGTAACAAATTACGACAAACGAGGTGGCTTAAAACAACACAAACATATTGTCTCACGGTTTGGCAGCTAGAAGTCTAAAATCAAGATGTCAGCTCTAGGGGAGAATGCTTCCCTGCCCCTTCCTAGCTTCTTGTGGTTCCCAGCAATCACTGGGGCTCCTTGGCTTGTAGACATATCGCTCCAATTTCTGCCTCCATCTTCACACGGTCTTATTCCCTCTGTGTATGTCTCTGTGGCTCTCTGTCTTCACATGGCCTTCTTATAAGGAAACCAGTCATTGGAGTTAGGACCCACTCTCATCCGGTACGATCTCACCTTAACTAATTACGTATGCAAACACCCTATTTCCAAATAAGGAACTTTCTGAAGTTCTAGGTGGACGTGAATTTGGGGAGGACACTGTTCGACCTAGTATAACCCCTCTGTGTCTCTTTCGAATCACTAGACCCAAGTTTGTCTGTTTGTTTGATTTGTTTTGGGGTGTTGCCACAGGGTAAAATGGAAGGGAAATGGAGCAAGGAAGTTGAAAGTACGAGCAAAGAATTGCTGAGATGATGAAAGATGGAATCTCTATTAGGTTGGGGAAGAAGCGAAGACAAGAGATGAACAGGTGGGGACAGATGGTAAGAAGCAGAGGGTCAGGGATTCAAGGTTTTGATGAGGTTGAAAAAACAGGTCTACAGGGATAACCAAAGGAGACAGATGGAAGAATTGGAGATGGTGTTGAGAGAATGTCCATTTGAGTTTGACTATTTCTAATCTAGATAGTTCCACCGAACTACTAGTTTATTCCAGAGTTATTAATATACTGTTTGAATCACTGTAACTTTAAATTAGTTTTACCTTTCAAAATGCCTAGCCCCTTCAGGGTTATCTTTTTTCAGAACTTTCTTTGATATTCTAAACTGTATACTCTTCCAGACTAATTTTGAGATAATGTCAAGTTACAAAAAAAATTCTTATTGTGATATTTTGATTGGAATTGCATTAAACTTATAAATCCATTTAAGAAGAATTAATCTCTTTACTTAATATTCTTATCTAGGAACAGATTTTGTCTTATCACTTACTCAACTCCTTCACAACTCTCAATAAAATTTTATAGTTTTCTTTGCACATATTTTTGTAGCAGAACAGAAAGCTTCCTTTTGTCGTGGAGCCTGGACACAAAGAAGAGACTAGATGACCCTGCATGTAGGAGAAGGGTGGCTACATGATCCCAGGGGAACAACTGTGCCCTTTGATTACATTCTCAAAAAGGACTATCTTTCAAGTGACAATTAGTTAATATTTTAAGACTATGATGAAAATATGTTCAAGAAAGCCGTATAAAGACAAGGCCAGCCTGGTGGTGTAGTGGTTAAGTTTGCTGGCTCCACTTTGGTGGCCCGGGGTTCGTGGGTTCGGATCCTGAGTGTGGACCTACACACCGCTCATCAAGCCATGCTGTGTCAGTGTCCCATGTGCAGAGTAGAGGAAGATTGTCATGGATGTTAGCTCAGGGCCAATCTTCCTCAACAAAAACAGAAGGAAAAAAAGAAATGAAGTACTGATAAATGCTACAATATTGGTGAACCTTGAAAATATTATACCAAGTGAAAACAGCCAGACAAGAAAGGCCACATATTGTATGATCCATTTGTCTGAAATGTCCAAAATAAGCAAATCCATAGAGAGAAAGCAGTGGTTACTAAGGATTGAGAGAAGAGGGAAATGGAGAATGACTTCTTAATGGATGCAAGGTTTCCTTTTGGGATGATGAAAATGTTCTGGTACTAAATAGTGATGGTGGGTTGCACAACATTGTGACTGTACTAAATGCCACTGAATTGTATACTTCAGAATGGTGACTTTTGGGGCTGGCCTGGTGGCATAGTGGTTAAGTTTGCACACTGCTTCAGTGGCCCAGGGTTTGCAGATTCAGATACTGGGCATGAACCTACACACCACTCATCAAGCCGTGCTGTGGCGGTGTCCCACATATAAAATATAGAGGAAGATGGGTACAGATGTTAGCTCAGTGACTATCTTCCTTGAGCAGAAAGAGGAAGATTGGCAACAGATGTTAGCTCAGGGCCAACATTCCTCACCAAAAATAAAATAAAATAAATGGTGACTTTTTTGTTATGTGTATTTTATTGTGTGCACGCGCACACACACAGTCACACAGACACACACACAAGACTCAAGGCTATGATAAAAGCAGGGAAAGCAGGCACACGTTGTTCTTTTATTACACAATTGCTCCCCGCTCCACCACCACCACCTGCCCAGATCTTTGACCTGGCCGCATATCTGCAGGAGGGACTCACGTGTCTTGTCCACAGATGGGACTAGATGACACGTAAGGTTCCTTCCAAATCTGAGATGCTCTGATCTCATGATTGATTTCATTCCTTCCCCTTTTCCTCACAGACTCTCTTACTTAGAGATATATCAGTAGGACACACAGAGAAAGAAGCAAGAAATCTTGAGTCAACTGGATCCACATTCAAATCTCCACTTTGTCAATGCACTTGCAGTGTGACCTTGGGCCTGTGATGTCACCGAGGATCTCTGAGCTTCCTGCTTCCTTGGCTGTAAAGGGAAGATCGTGACTACCACCTTGCCAGGGTGCTACAGGGATCGGCGACATGAGTGGGGCTGGCACTGAGAGCTAAGTATATGTTCCTATCATTGCTTTTTTTTCATCAGAGAAATTCTGAACCCCCTACCAAGAAGTAGCTATTTAACCACCACTGACTTGGTGAGATCCAAATTTACAAATGTGCTGGCTGAAGTCCAGAAACATCTAGGCCCAATCAGATAACTATGGGATCTGAATTATCTTTGAGGCATGACTTGGCAGTTAGATTACGCCTAAGTAATAATTATTAAACTTTATATGTGTCAACCAGATTTGTCACAGATTGGGGGTGAAATGAGAGCATAAACTTATGCAAAAATTAAAGCCACACGGTCACATCATCTTGTCAGAAAAGAAAAGCAACAGAATACAAGATGCCACTGCCATTTACATGAAGGAACTAAGGCCTGGACTGCCCTCCCAGCAAAAATCTGCTCTAACATAAGCCAATAAGATGACAAATGGGAATCTGAAATGACTTTGAAATAAAATCCAAGATGTATCCGTGAAGGCGGGAGGCAAAGATGTTCTGGAACTGCTGTCTCTCCCAAGGGCTCTGCAAAACCCCTGAGGCCTCAGCTTGTAATTCTGCAATAGGGTCTCACATCTCCAAACCTTTCCTTACCGTAAGTTGACAAATATAGCCCTGCAGCCTGCTGTCTGAGAAGAGTTGGTGCTCCCTAGATTTTTCATGAGCTCTTGTCTTAGTTTGGGTTCCCCCGAAAGCAGAGTCTGACAGAAGCACTTGGTACAGGTGGTTCACTAAGGAGAGGTCACCTGAGGCGGGAGTGAGGGAAGGGGGAGTGTGATGTCAAGAAGGATAGTGTGATGTCAAGGTGACGAGGTACAGAAGGCCTCCTACAGCTATTTACCTAAAGGTGATAGAATTTACCCACTAGCTTCCATTCCCCAGTGGTTGGGAGTTGCTGTAAAGGACATTAACTCTCCTGCACTTTTGGGGTATTCTTACCTATGGGCTGAGCAGAGGCCCAAGGTGTTAGAGAAGGCCCTTGGGCAGAATGCTGAGGGACTGGATCTCACATGAGAGGAGGGATGCTGTCAGTGAGAACAGCGTCTGGCCTCACGTAAGATGACAGTCCACTTAGCCATGGCTGAGATCAGAGGTGGCCAAAGGGATGTGATGTGAGCCACCAAATGTGTTTGTTTCAGTGCTCCTAGATTGCCCAGCCACTCTTGCAGCTAGGTTGTGGTCACATGATCCTTGAGTCCGCATGGAGGACATCTGACAAACCCAGAACCATACCCTTTCTACTCATGTCCACTTCACCAGGGAGACAACAACCTCCAGGCAAGTGAGGGACGGACACAGGAGGGAGTTGTTCCTCTGAGTCAGGCAACAGCTTCAATACGGAAACTGTGAGAATTAGGTCTTTTTTGTGTTCTTTTCCCTCTGAGGAGCTAGATCTAACAACAGGCAGTTGACGTGTGTCCAGAGAACCTCTCAGCTTCTTGTAAATATACACATATGCTTGTATTTCTTTAAAAAGTTCTGGGTTTGAAGTTCATTGGTTTGGCTTAAATCACATGTCCATCTGTGAACCAATTACTGTGGCCAGAGTGTGGAAAACTCGGATTGGCCAGCCTTGGATCATGTGACAGATATATCAGCCTCATGTATACTCCCTGAGGGCAAAGACCACTGGTAAGTCAGGGTGAAATTACTTTAAGAAAGGAATAAATAAATGCTGGATAGCAAAAGTAACAGATATATACAACATACTCTTCTTTTTAAAAACTCTTTATTGAGGTATGACTTAAAGACAGTGAAGTGTACCAATCTTAAGTGTACAGCTTGATAATTTTTTATATACACAGTTGGGTAATCACCACCCAAATCAATATTTAAATATTTTCAGAACCCTCAAAGTCTCCCTTGTGCCTCTTCCCAGTCATAACTCCCCAAAGATAACCACTACTCTGATCTCTAACACCATAGATAATTTGCCTGTGCTTGAACTTCGTATAAATGGAATCATATAGTATATGCTCTTTTGTGTTTGGCTTCTTTCACTCAACATTATGTTGTAAGATTCATCCATGTTGTTGTGTGTAGCAGTAGTTTATTCTTTTTCATTGCTGTGTAACATTCCATTGTATAAACTCTTATCCAATCTATTGACAGTTGAATTATTTCCAATTTTTAGCTATTATGCATAAAACTGTTATGAACATGCTTGTACAGGTCTTTTGGTGGACATAAGTACTCCTTTTTCTCAGGTGTATACTCAAGAATGGAAATGCTGGGTCAAAGGATTTATAAATACTTAGCTTTAATAGGTATTGCCAAACAGTTTTCACTCCCACCAGCAGTGTATGAGAGTTTCAGTTGCTACAGAGTCTTGCAGCTGTGTAGTCCTTGTCAGTCCGTCTAATCATCTACTCTTCTTGATTTCTCAATACCCTTCTACAAAGAGATACAGATATTTGTCAGTAGACTGCAAAAGTCCCAGCCATGGAAAAGGCTCTGTACACCAACGGTAAAGGCTGAACTTAAATGCCTGGTCCTGACCCTAAGGGCAACAGGAACTCAGAAATGGGAGAGATCAGCATGGGCATGGGGAGATATGAACCTTTGGAGAGGTTGAAATGAGCAGGGCTTTGACCCGTTGGTGAGATTTGAATAAAGGAAGGAGAATAATGCAGTCATCCTGTCAGAGTGCACAGCTTGAGCAAAGGCAGAAGGGTGGGAAAGAGTTTGGAGTAGAAATCAGGGAGAAAGCTGACCTCACTTGAGCAGAGAGTACCTCTTGAGAGGAGCAGGGCGTGTGGTTGGATTGGTAAGGACGGGCCAGGCTTGGGCAGGGGGGCTTTGATGTCAGGAGGTGGGCTTGGGATCTGGGTGGCTGGAGTAGGGGAGGTGGCTGAGAGTCAGCAGGTCCCTCATTCAGTCTCAGTTTCCTCCTGTTTCTCACAGTAACGAGCATCTTACCATGATGAGTGTGATAATCATTTTTCTTTCAACAGGGCCCCTGAATGCGAGCCAACTGCTTCATTTGGTTCTCAGCTGAAGAAATAGATCTGTTCCTATGCCGGAGAGAAAACCAGATGTCCTGGATTGAGAAATGGTATCTCTACATGTACTTCAGAGGCGTTATAAGGGATCCTCAAGGGGTTAGTTTTGACTTTGTGTGATTTATACCTTCTGGGCTGACTTCGCTACATTAGAAGTCTTATGGCAGGTGTATCTGTATAAAGTGATGAACACAAGCCTGGGCTGCAGGCCCTGAGAATGGAAAGGAATAGCTCCACTTCCCCTGTTCTTCTAGAACTCCCCATGCCTGAGCCCATTTATCTCTCCACCTGCAGATTCAGCCCTTCAACGACCAGTCGATTCATTTGTTCATTCATTACTTATTCATTCAGCAAACTTTCACTGGATGCCTAGTGAAGGCCAAGTACTGGAATTGAAGACAGAAACAGAGTTTCTGCCTTCAAGGAGCTCACAGACAAGCAAGAAACACTGACACGGGACAATTGAATGCAAATAAGGTACGCAAAGAGCTACAATAAAGGTAATGCAGAGGACAGTAGGGGACATCAAGCCTACCTGAGGAAGTCAAAGAAACATTTGAAGCTCAGTCTTGAAGGATGACTTGGAGTTCACCTGGTAGGCAAGATCGGGAGGGACTTCCAAGTAAGCGAGAGCAAGCCACACGGCAGAAAGACTGGCAATCATACGGCTAGAGCATAGAGTTAGCGTGCAGAAGGATCTGGAGATGAGGCCGAGAAGTGACCAGAGGCACATCATGAAGGGTTGCAAATCCTAAGCTAATGAATACAGGCTTCACCCTGTGGACCATGGGGAGCCATTGTAGGGCTGGAGACAGAACTATATAGTCCAGTAGTTAGAACATCAGGCTGGCACGAGTGTGAAGGATGAAGCAGAGGGAGTGACCATAGAGACAGGAAAATCAATGTAAGGGTTTGTGCATCAGATCTGATAAAAGAAGATACAAGCTTAAAATAGACCCAGGACAGAGATGGTGGAGAAGAGGAAATGGATATTTAGGAGGTAAAATCTATAAGACTTACTGAGGTCGGAGGAGAAAAGGGGAGATCAGGAGAAAAGAATTTGGATGACAGTCGTATTCTGTCTGGGTGGATGATGGTGCTGTTATTTAGGAGAGGAAATGTTGGAGAAAAGGAAGGTTTGGGCAGGACAGGAAAGGGGAAGGGTAGAGGAAATGAGCTTAATTTTTGTCTTTGAGCTTGAAGAGTCAATGGGATATAAGTAGCATGTACAGTTGGATGTATGGCCTGGCACTCAGAGAGAGTTCTGAGCTGGAGATGTGGATTCAGCATCATCAGTACACAGGTGATACATGAAGCCTGGAATCTTTCAGGTGGACATGTAAAGTGAGAAGAAAAGAGGGACAAGGATGATGCCATGGAGAATGTCAGGCCTTCAGGAGTGTGTAAACAAAAGTCACCCAGTGAAGGAGTCAAAGGAGCAGTTAAAAGGATAGGAACAGGGGCCGGCCCAGTGGCACAGTGGTTAAGTTTGCACGGTCCACTTCAGCGGCCTGGCATTTGCCAGTTCAGATCCCGGGTGCGGACATGGCACTGCTTGGCAAGTCATGCTGTGGTAGGCATCCCACATATAAAGTGGAGGAAGATGGGCACGGATGTTAGCTCAGGGCCAGTCTTCCTCAGCAAAAAGAGGAGGATGGGCAGCAGATGTTAGCTCAGGGCTAATCTTCCTAAGGGGAAAAAAGAAAAAAAAAGATAGGAACAAAGCCAGAAGAAATTATAAACTGTGTGAGATCCATTTCTTCTTGTTCTTGGTGCATCCATATCACGCAGAATTTTCCGGCTCACTGTTATTGCAAGAATGAATAAGCAAACGAATGAAGTGGTGTCATAAAGACAAGGAGGCATTTCCAGAAGAGTACCACTCAAACAGTCAGTGACACAAGATGAGAACTAAGTGTCCCAGACTGTTCTGCACCTGAACAGGAAGCACTGGGACAGCCTCAGCCGCCTGTCCTGAAGGGCTCAGCCTGAGCTGCTCTCCTCCCACACAGACCGGGGGTGTGGTGGATCAGTGCTCGCCGTAGGGTATTCCTTATATTGTGGCTCTCATCCTTAAGCCTTCCCCGACTTCCACCCTAAAGTCCTAGAGCTAGGTGACTACCCCTAATTCAGTCTCCAAGTTCCTACTTGGGTACATCGCTATATTGTTATCTATGACTATGTAACAAATTACTCTAAAACTTAATAGTTTAAAACAACACACATTTATTATCCCACAGTTTCTAGGGTTAGGAATCTGGACATGGCTTCGCTGGGATCTCTGCTTCAGGGTCTCTCAAGTTTCAACTGAGGCAGGATCCATTTCCAACTCACTCAGTGGTTGTCGGTAGTTCCTCACGGGCTGTGGGATTGAGGGCCTCAATTCTCTGCGGGCTGTTGGCCACACGCTTCCCTCCCTTCTTTGCCACATGGGCCTCTCCATCAAGGCAGTTTGCATCATCAAAGCCAGCAAGAGAGAGCGTCTGTGGCAAGATCAAAGTCACAACCTTTTGTAACCTAATCATGAAAGGGACATCTTGTCATTATTGCTATGTTCTATGAGTTACAGACAAGTCACCAGGTCCAGCCCACACTCACGGGGTGAGGATTATACAAGGGTATGAATACCCAGAAGTGAGAATCACTGGGGTTCATTTTAGAAATCTACCTACCACAACTGCCTAGAACCTCCTTTCTTTCGGCAAACTTAGGATCTGTTTTGCTGAGAAGAATGCTTCTCTGACAATTGTCTTCACCATCTGGGTTGAACCAAGGCAGAAAAATGTTAACATTTCATTAAGTTAAGTTATGACCTTAACTTTTCCTGTACTACTAATCATTAATGCTTGTATAGTACTAACTACATGCCAGGCTTTACATGAGCTTCACAAATATCAACCCATTTAATCCTCACAACAATCTCTGAAGTGGATACTCTTGTTAACTCATTTTACAGGCAAAGCAACTGAGTCACAGAGAAGTAAGCAATTTGCCAAAAGTCACACAGCTGCTAAGGGGTAGGAATAGGACTTGAGATCCAAGAGTTTGGTTCCAGAATTTCTGCTGTTAACCGTTATGCTTTTCTATAACCCAAATATAAACTGGGATATGATGTTGTCCAGTCTCAGCGTGGTATGACATTAAAACAAAACATTAAAAATATTGAACAACCAAAACATAAATTCCAACATTTAATTAGCCTGAAAAGAGATTCATTCCACACTCAACAGCAACCTATTTTGCGTCTCGGAGCCTTTCATTTGCCAAGTCTCCCTTTCAAATTTTCCCTGAAACCCAGACCAGACTATTTTTCATTTTCTTTTTTCTCTACTTGTCTCTTAGCTCCTTATGATTTAGGTTGACCTGGTCTTCTGGCTTCATTCTTTAGGATCTTGTCTAATTAGCCCATGACCTCAATTTTACACAGCAAAGGGTAATCCTGGAACTGACTGAGCAGTTAAGAATTTTACCCCTTTTCCTCCTATCTGTCCAGTCTGATTTCTCTCTCCCTATTTCTATATCATAAAAAAAACATAGAAACAGTAGACAGAATGCTCCTTCAGGAGGAGGGGAGAAGGAGAAGCTGAGCAATAAAGAAAAAATTCTCTTTAGCTGGTGGAGGTTTGGAGAGGAGAAAGGACAATAGGCTAGGAACACAAACTAATAAGCTTTGTCTTTGTCACATTCCAAGGGATGCGTGACTGCTGCACTATGTGCTTGTTATCACAGACGAGGTTGCCAAGCCGACTAGGGCAGTCCCAGCAGAACTGAGGGTCTGGCACACGGCGGGGAAGCTTCCTTCTCAGATCTCGCTCAGCTAGCTCTTTCCTCTGAGGCTGTGAATTGGGGGAAAGCACATGGAAAACCAGGGAGAATGAGAGATGCTTCCAGTTCTCCAAGCCCCTCTGCCAACCAACAGACCCTGGGTCCACACTTTGCTTCCCAGCCTGGGGTCTGTTCACTGGAAGGTTGTGAGAGCTGATTTGAGGAAGATGAAATAGCCATGCTTCATTTTTTCTCAAAGTAAAATAAGGCAACTGAATCTTAAGTCCTATAGTAGCGACCTCAGCAAAGCCTCTCCGATAGGCCCCTCTTAGCCGTTGCTGCTGCCAACACCCTTGTTTGTCATTTCTGCCCTGATCTACTTCAACTGTCCCTAAGCCCTACCCTGCTTTCTGTGTTTCTCCACCTCCATTCATTTCACAAACCACTGCCAGTTTAATCTTCCCCAATACCAGTCGTTTTTTTTTAATTCAGGTAACACTGTATAGGTCTCAGGTATACAACATTATAATTCAACATCTGTCTATGGTACAGTGTGCTCACCAAAAGTGTAGTTTCCATCTGTCACCATATAATTGACCCCTTTTATCCTTTTTGCCCTCCCCCAACCCTCATTCCTTTCTGGTAACCACCAATCTGTTGTCTGCTTCTATGAGTCTGTTTTTGGTTTGTTTTGTCATTTGTTTTGTTTTGTTTGTTTATCTTCCACATATGAGTGAAATCATATGGTATTTGTCTTTCTCCATGTGACTTACTTCACTTAGCGTAATACTCTCAAGATCCATCCATGTTGTTGCAAATAGCAAGGTTTCATCATTTTTATGGCTGAGAAGTATTCTATGGTGTATATATACCACATCTTCTTTATCCATTCATCAGTTGATGGGCACTTAGGTTGCTTCCATATCCTGACTATTGTAAATAATGGTGCACAACCATAAAACTCCTAGAAAAAAACATAGGCAGTACACTCTTTCAGGTTGGTCCTAGCAATAGCTTGTTGGATATGTCTCCTCAGCAAGGGAAACAAAAGCAAAAACATACAAATGAGACAACATCAAACTAAAAAGCTTCTTCACAGCAAAGGAAATCACAACAAAATGAAAAGACAACCTACCAAATGGGAGAAGATATTTGTAAATCGTATGTCTAAAAAGGGGTTAGTATCCAAAATACCCAAAAGAACTCATACAACAACCAGATTTAAAAATGAGCAGAGGATGTGAACAGACATTTTTCCAAAGAAGACATACAGATGGTAAACAGGTATATGAAAAGGTGTTCAACATCACTAATATTAAGGAAATGCAAATCAAAACCACAATGAGATGTCACCTCACACTCGTCAAAATGGCTATTATCAAAAAGACAAGAAATAGTAAATATTGGAGAGGACGTGGAGAAAAGGGAACCCTCATACACTGCCGGTGGGAATGTAAATTGGTGCAGCCACTATAGAAAACAGTATGAAGGTTCCTCAAAAAATTAAAAATAGAACTACCATATGATCCAGCTGTTCCACTTCTGGACATTTATCCAAAGAACACAAAAACGCTAATTTGAAAAGATTTATACACCCTAATACCAATCTGATCACACCATTTCTCTGCTCAAAATCTCTCAGTTGCTCCCCTTTCCCTATAAATCCTCATCTAAACCTTCACGACCCTCAAAACCCTTTTTCTAGACATATTCTTCTACATGTATTTATTGTCCATCTAAAATAGGTGACTCACTGATTGCTGAGCACTGTACACTTTTCTGCTCCATGCCTCTTACTCCCATCATTCCTCCTGCCTCTAAAACCTTCCATTTCTCTCTGCTCCCCACATCCCCCATGGTACCAAGTTCAAAGACTATCTAAAAAGTCAGCTCCCTTGGGAGACATGTCTAGACAATTGCAACTGTGTGATTTCTCCCTTCTGTCATTTCCTGTATCATTCACATTTTTCTTATACTACCATATCCATGTGCCACCCATTTATTAGAAAGTGCATACTCAGAAAGAAGAGGTGCCTTCTCGCTAAACTTCGAATATCCTATGGTGCCCAGCAAAGAGCCTTAAACATGTGCATGTTAAATATTCAATAAGTAGCAGTTGAATTGAAATGAAGTTTGCAGGGCTGATATCTCTCCTGTCCTAATTTATTATCTAGTTTATCATTTTACATCTTTTGCTGGAATAGGCAAGACGCATTCCTTTTAGGAGGGAGGACGCGAAGGAAAGCACGGCAGAAGGCCTCAACCTGGCCAGTCACGGTCGTGTGCATTCCACAGCTTGAATTTCACCAAAGCCCATGAGCATTTAGTCTCTGGGTGTTACCTTGTGGGTGACGCCTTTAAGTAGCCTGACCTCATGCTTTTCAACCCTGTCACTTACCACCGTCAGAAGGAGTGTGGCACAGGGCACGTCAAACAGGAAAGATGGTTACATCGATTCAAGCCAACGAATATTCATTCAACACCTACTATGAGCCAGCACTCTGCCAAGTGCTGGGAACAGAGGGACGAACAAGAAAGACATGGCATGGGCACCTCTGAAATAGAATTCCAGTAAGAGTAGCTACCACGTACTGACAGCTCACTATGCCAGGCCCCGGACTCAGTGTCTGACATGCATTGTCTCTCTCAATCCTCACAGCAAACGCTATCAGCACCCTCATTTTACATGTGGGAAAAGGGAGGCTTAAAGAAGTTAAGTGTTTTGCCCTGGATTAACAGGCAGTGGAGCTAAGATTTAAACCTGGGATTTATGATTTGAGTCCATTCTTAGAAGCACCAACTTTGCTTCCTCAACATGTTTTTGATCTGCTCAAAACAGATCCTTGCTCTCTTTATTCTTTGAGTCTTGCAATGTGGCTTTGGGTGAAGGTACATATATTATAAAATTTGGCTTCCTCTGTCTCTGGAGAGTCCACAAATCCATAGAGCAATCTCCCCCAGACTTCTCCAACATTCCTTCACCTTCAGGACTCAGACTGAAATAGCCTGTGGGCAGAGGCGGTATCTACTCATAGACCTCAAAGGTATCCCTCCCACCTTTCTGTGCCCTGATACTCTCGACTATGTGTTTTATCCTCTTCTATTGTATGAGGTTTTGCATATTTCCTCAAATCCTTTGTGGACCAGGTAATGCAGAAGTAAATCTAATATGCCTTGCACCTCTTGGCTGCTCAATATGTCACACGAACGTAGAATAACGGATGCTTAACTCGTGAGGGAGACTTAGAGAATGTCTTATCCAGTTTTCATTTTGTTCCACGGAGATCCTGGTTGAGGTTGTTGGGCTCCTCACCTTCAGTGCTTCTGGAACAATCCACTCTAATGTCTTCTGCATATAGAGCTTCCTGGAACATTTCCTCTGAAGGATGGATTCTCTGACTAATAAAAGTTTAGTTTCTCATTGGAACCCTTGTGCATTCCTGGTGGGAATGTAAAATGGGGCAGCCAGTAGGGCATATGGTTCGGTGATTCCTCAAGAAGTTAAACATAGAATTACCATATGATCCAGCAACTCCACTTCTGGATATGTACCCAAAAGAAATAAAAGCAGGGACTCAAATGGATACTTGTATACCCATGTTCGTAGCAGTGTTATTGACAATAGTCAAAAGGTAGAAGCAACCCAGTGTCCATCAATGAATAAATAGATAAAATGGTACATACATACAATGGAATATTATTCAGACTCAGAAAGAAGGAAATTCTGACACATGCTATAATGCGGATGAACCTTGAAGACATTATGCTAAGTGAAATAAGCCAGTCACAAAAGGACAAAAACTGTATGATTCCCCTTTTATGAGGTACATAGAGTAGTAAAATTCATAGAGACAGAAAGTAGAATGGCAGGTGTCAGGGCCTGGGGGGAGGGAGGGAAGAATGAGGAGTTTCTATTTAATGTGTACGAAATTTCAATTGGGCAAGATGAAAAAGTTCTGAAGGTGGATGGTGATGATGGTTGCACAACAGTGTGAATGTATTTGATGCCACTGAACTATACACTTAAAAATGATCAAAATGAGGGGCCGGCCCCATGGCCAAGTGGTTAAGTTCGTGCTCTCCACTGCAGTGGCCCAGGGTTTCGCCAGTTTGGATCCTGGGCGTAGACGTGGCACGGCTCGTCAGGCCACGTTGAGGTGGCATCCCACGTGCCACAATTGGACCTGCAGCTAGGATGTACAACTATGTGCTGGGGGATTAAGCAGAAAAAAAAAAAAAGACTGGCAACAGTTGTTAGCTCAGGTGCCAATCTTAAAAGAAAAAAAAAAGATTAAAATGGTTAATTTGATGTTATGTATGTTTTAGCACATTTTTTTCAAATGCTCAATTTCTCATTTAATGAAAGAGGGACTTGAGTTTCAAGGTGAAGTAGCTTGTTCGAGGTCACTTGGCAAAGTGATTAGCACAGTTGGGAGTTGGGAACCCAGGGCTCTTGGCTGTCAGGCCATGGCTCTCCCCATTGTAACCTACTCCCTCCTCCTGGGGACGAGGGGTCTAGAGGAGACCAAAGGGAAATGCCAGAGGTCATGACCCTCTAGACTCAGAGTGTCTCCATAGCAGCCCTTTTCCCTAGCCCATGGCCTTGCTCTCTTCATTCCACTTTCCCCTCCTTTTTCTCCCTGAACCAAGCCCTCTTGATGATCAAAACAGGCAAAGTCTTCATGGCAAGGCCCTGGAGAAGCAAAAGCAGATGGAATGGGCTCCACTGGAAAATGTATGTGTAGATGGAAGTTTTTCTGTTTTTTCCAAGTCTCTTGGCTCTTAGCTGTTGGGATTTCATTCAAAGTGGAATTTCCAGCCTTAGCTTGGCTCCTAATGCAAGAGTTTTGTTTTTCCGTGTGCATCTCTCCTGAACTTGTTGGTCGTCTCCCATGGATGCTCCTGGCTGCCATGCTCCTGCATCTCTGCCTGTTGAGCTTGAACAGTGCTCTATTATTGGGGAAGCATGCCCTGGCAAGCTCTGAGGGCACGCCCTGTCCTACCGGAGAGATGGCACACCTTGGGAAACAGGTTGTTTCACTCGCTTCAAAAACATCTGCTCCCTTAGAGCGCTCAGTGCAGCAGGGGAGAGGCCCCAGAGAGATCCAAGGCAGGTTTTTATTTGGTCTTCAGATCCTGATGGACCAAAGGCCTAGCCTAGAGTGGGAAGGCAAAGAAAAGTGTTGAGAGTTTGAAAACCACTCTGTGAGCTAAGATGAGCCTTCCACAAACAGATCAGCTAGTGTCCTGAAGGAAACAGTTTTTTAACATTTAGCCAACAAATATTTTTGAGCACCTACCATGGGCTAGAACACTGTGTTAGGAGCTGGGGATATGATGATGAATGAGTGAAATAAGTTCTCTGCCCTCACGGAGCTTATAGTCTAGTGGAGGAAGTAGATAATGAATAAGGAAACAAGAACATTGCAGACTGTGAAGCAGGAGAGAGGAGAGAGTGAGTTGACAGCAGGTCAGTGTGGCAGGAGGGGGTGGTTATGCTGCTACTTTCAATGAGGTGGTTAGAGAGGGTCACACTGAGGAAGGGGTCTAAGCTGAGACCTGAAAGACACTAAGAAGCCAAATATATGGAAAGCCAGGGGGAAAACACATGCAAAGGCTATAAGACGGGGTGGCATATGCAAGAACCAGATGGGCCACCAGCGTGACTGGAGGACGGGCAGGGAAGGAGAGGTAAGAGGCCAGGACATGGGGTCTTTGTGGGCTATAGTAAGGAGTCTGGCTTTTATTCTAAGGGCAGCAGGAAGCCTTTGAAGGTTTAAACATAGGTGGTAATGATTCTGAACTGACCCCACCTCCTTGGCTGAGACCTCCCTACACATTTCTCTGACCATTCCACTCTTCAAATTACTGGACCCCAGTTGCAAATAAAGCCCTTCTCTGCCCTCATGCTAAAGGGTAGAAATTGGGGTGTCAGAAATATCGTGCCAGAGACCCACGATATTCTCGAATGAACTGGGCCCGGCTAAATCAACTTTCCTAAGTTTCCATCCCTTTGTCCACTTTTAAGGTGTTGGAATTCAGCATTTAAAGCCTCCTCCTGTCTGAGGAAAGCAGAAGAGGAGCTCAAGAGTATATCGTGAATCTTACTACATCTGGAATAAAGATCAGGCCAGCTGATGCTTAAATTAAAAGCACAGCTTGCCTTTCCTCCCTCCTCTCACCTCACGAATAAAGTCGAGCAACAGGCATTGAACTGGTGAAGGACACATTCATCAGAAATCTATGTAGGCATATTTCTTTTACTTACCAAAGCTCCAATTAATCCTAATTAAGGCTCACTCATCTGCACCCCATTGCCCCAACCCCACCTAGAGAGGAAAACCCAACCTGCTCCCCACCTGTAACCCAGAAAAAGAGAAACTGTTTTATGAGAGTCCATGGACCCAGAGCCCTTTTACAGAGAAGTCATCTGCATTTGGTTCCCTATAACACTGCGCCGGGCCACGGGGTAGGAAAACCGGTTGACATCTGGAGGAGATGTTGGGAGTGTAGCCATCTCAGCTGGAAAGATGGGATTCTGGCCCATTTTCCTTCCTACTGGAGGATTGTCTTTCCTTGGTCGCTTAAAGGATTCCTGGCTCCTACTGTACTTTGTTCTTTGCTTTCATTTTTTCCACGAATATTTACTGAGCAGTTAATGTATGTCATGCAAAAATGTCTTGTATGAATCTTTTCTTGTGTGATGTAGTGGAAAGAGCATGCATTCTGAAGTCAGAAGACCTCGGTCTAGAGTCCGGGAGATTGTGCTTGCCTGGAGCAAATAATTTTACTTCCCAAAACTTTGGTATCTGCTTTGGCAACCTAAAGGCCGCTCTGAGGATCAAATATAATAATGAGTGTGAAATTTCTGTAAATTGTAAAGTGCTTCAAAATGATAGTTCGTTTTTGAAAGTATTGCATTTGTTCTAAGATGAATTTCCTCATGGTCACTCACAACCTCCAGCCAGGGGAAATCAAAGGAGGTTAAGTCTCACTTGCACACACTTCATCAAGGGCCCACTGAGCAGCCCTAACAATGTGTTCCGGTGGTCATATGTTTTTATAAAGCTTGGAAAATAAGAATATTTTATCAGCAATTGGTTAAAACCACTATGTTTTTCCTCTGCAGCTTCCTCACCGTGACTGTTTTTCTGTTGAACAGCGATGAGTGGTGGTAGGCATTTTCGATATCTGGCTAAAGAGAAGTTGAGTTGGGGAACATGAAGTTTGGATTGAGCGGCATATATTTCTGCAGTTTGCAGAATTTCCATGTTTAGTTAGGTTATTATTAGGCCTCCTGGTGTAGGAACGGCTTCCAGGAATGCTCCTTTCCCTACCATGTCAATTCATCTGGTGCCATCTCATAAAAGTGCAGGGCCAAGGGCAAAGCTGTGATAGGACCATGTGATAGGACCATGCACAGTAGCAGGACCAGAAATAGATGTAAGTAATGGAAGAGAAACAGGATTTCAAATGTAGGGAGGCAAAAGCTAGTCTTCAGAAAGTTCTTCTAATCATCAGATGTGTTCCATTGTAAGTGGAAGATGCAGTTCTCATTGACACCTAGCTAAAATAGAAGTTTGCTACTATCAAAAATATACTTGATAGTACAGTGTACACAATTATTAATACATCATATATTTTTCTATTTTTTATGGGAATCTTGCAAGATAAAATTAATCACAATACCTGGGTTTATAGGGCATAGACCGTAGCAGTATTACCTATGGCACGAACATCTGTGTGTGAAATTCCATGTTTATGTATCATATCAGATCAGATCACCTCTTAGCATATCTGATGCTTCTCGTCCTGACAAGGTCTGTTGGTTGATGAAAAGGAACACAACATTGCCACAGACATAGCAAAATGGCCTGAAGAAGCAAGGGTTCCTGTGCCAAAACTCCCATGCGTATTCATTAATAAATCAATGTAATGTAAAAATAAAATAAAGTAATGTAAAAATAATTTGATTACATAATTATGCAGATCAATACAACAAGAAGTGATTTAAAATTGCTCTCCCATAGGCCTTAATTTCAGATTAATTTTGTATATTTTTTAGAATTTACTGAGCATATAAAAATTACCCCAAAACTTTATAGAGGCATGTTGGACAGTTAATGAATAAAGATAATGTTATTTTTATTTTGATTTCGTGATGTTTGTAATGTTTGCCAGCTTTTTTACATCTGAAAATTACTATGATTTCTTTTCTCATTCTAGATAAATATTTATTTTGTGTTCTTTACACCTAGTTAATTTTGTGTTCATAATTTTGTATTATTTTTCCTAAAGAGGGCCCCTAAATTGTATAAGCTTCAGGCCCCTTGAAGCCTGGATCCACCCTGCCTGATTCGGTTACTCCATCCTGCTGTGGACATGAGTCCAGTATCCCTACCCCGCTCACTGCTCCACCCTTCACCAAGAGCTCTAAGCCCACGAGTGTGTGTTGCAGAACCCAGAGCCTGCCACCCAGGACAAGAAGCAGAGCATCCCAGAGTCTGCCAATGAAAAGATTCTCATTAATGGGTTCCTGGAAGTTAGGGTTAGGATAGGATACCAAGGAAAATACCTCTCAGATAAAAGCCATACAGAGCCAGCTCACAGGAAGATAGTAAAAGATTATTTACACATTGCACTCCGCTCTACTATTTCAAGCAACAATAACTAACCATGGGGAACTATCTCTGTGGTGGAGAGCGCTAGTTGTCTGCCAAAATCTATCTCTGGTTCTTCCATAGATGTAGATTTCAAGCCAAGCATATGGACACTTATCTAGGGGCTCCACTTCCCGGCCTCTTTGGTGGCTGGCTGTGGCCACATGACTAAGTTCACCAACGGAACGTGAGCAGGAGAGATATGGATGACTTGTGCCTGGCTTGCTTTTAAAAAGAAATTACTTCCCTAAACTTTTCCTATCCCTTCCCTGCTAGCTGGCAAGTGACAAATCCCACCTTCAAACATGCAGATGAGAACAATGCACTGAGCCAGAAGTTCCCAAACTTTTCCACTCAAATACCCTTAGTGTCTCAGTAGTTCTATCAGGTTGCTCCTAGGCCAAAAAGAAATAACCAATAGTTCTATTTGTTAAGTAGTTTTGTCCAAACAACCTAATAAGTACTTATTCCCTAACCCTTAGTGTGAAGGGTCTGATATTATATAGTATTTGTAAGCAAATGAGATAGCCAGTCAGGGTTTCATGGATGTTGGCAGAAGACACGAGATTCCTGGCTCAGAGACGAAGGAATGCATTACTCACAACAGTAGCAATAGTCAGAGTGTCAGCATTAGCTCTGGTTTGCTGACCTCAATTCCTATGGGACTATGTGAAGAGGGCTATGTGACATCTGCACACGGAGTGGGTTGTGTCACAGAAGAGTAACCTGAATCTCAGGTTACCAAGCTTTGGCACCCTGAATATTTTATAATGGGTAGTAAGCCTGCCTGATCTTTGCCCTAGAGGGAAACATTATTTGTCTTAGACTAGACAATAAGCAGAGCTGCTCTTTGTTCCAGAAAGAGCCACTATCTCTGTCTTCCAAGGCTATTAGCTATACAAACATCCTTGAAAAAATAGTCTGGATTAAAGGCAGTCAGTGCCTCTGCTTACAACATAGGCAAAACCATGAGAGATACATGGAGAATTGTCTCCCAACGTTTAGTAGCCATTTGCAAAAAATAATACACATAAATTGAAAGAAAAAGTAATACTTTATTTTAGTTTTAAACAACTGCAATCACTTGGTAATGGAATGCGTGTGCTGGCTGGGCACTGCTCAACTCCTCAAACCTTGGAATCTGATTGGACGCAGCCACTCCATTCCTTGTTCCACATTGACTTTCTCTTAGTGCTTGCTTTTTATCACTGCAACCACCAAAACCCGAGCTTCACAAAGATACGACGTCATCAAAAGGAAAGTTGTGCTATCTAATGTTGAAACTGCGAACTGCCTCAAGCTCGTAGTTTCACGTGGCATCTGTCAGATGTGGAGGGCCACTATGTTTTCCACAAAAATTGGACACATCCCGTGGTGCTCCTGTGAGTTCTTTCAGGCTCCCTGGGACAACTTGGTGCATGGTTTGGGAGCTGCAGCCCTAAGCAATGGTGGAAGAAGCACTTGATTCTGAGTGGCCTCATAGAGGGGCACTGTCTCGATAGCCTAGAATAAGTGGATTGTTATATCAGAGAGAAATAAACTTCTATCCTCTTTAAGTAAAATTCATGGGGTTTTTTGTTGCAGTTGCATAGCCTTTATCCTAACTAGTACAATCTCCTACATAATTTTGGCCGGGTCTCACATTGCAGATTTGATGACGTATGTTCTTACATTGTGGGAAAAAAAGTATTTCCTATGTGTTTCTTTTGTCTTTCCAACCTCAGTCATCACCTCAATCAACATTTATTGAGACCCTACTATGCCCTGGCTCTGGGCTAAGCATCCTTTCAAAACCCAAGTCCACATCTATGTTCCTCAGTTGCCTCAGCTGCAGGCTCAGGTCTCGACTCTTGAGCCAAGTCTAAGCAAGACCCTTCCCCATTTAGCAAGGAAGGTCTGGAAATCGCACTGATGCCTTGCTCTCAGGAGTAGCTGCTGTGCCTTGGACTTGGAACTCAATGAGGAGAACTTGGATGAGCTGAGCTGAACCAGTCCTTTTTCACCAATCTGGTTAGGATTAAGAAACTTCAGACCAAGGCCTATCTGACACATCCAGCAAGACACAGAGAACGTATCCAGAAAGCAGCATGCAAGCAACAAGACGGAGAGTACTTGTTTTCGCTGCCTAGAGCTGAGCTGGCTTGGATTGCTGCTGGGGTAGTGAGCTCTGTGTGTATCTGTGTAAAAAGGAACAAGAGGGATAGCAGGTTCTGACCTCTCAGTGACTGAAGGGAGAAAAGAGAAGAGGGATGGCTGAGCTGGCCCGGGTAGCTTGGGAGGAGCAGGCCCTACGTCCACTTACTACCTCTACAACACGAATGAGACACAGAGAGAGCAAGGCATGGGCCCTCACACCCTCCAGTTCTGCAGCATGGAGAGAGAGGAGAGAGCTAAGAGAGCTCCAGTCCTCCCACACCCAAAATGAGTGATATTTTAATGCACATTGATCACTAGTAAACTTGACCCAATAAGAGTCCTAGAATTTTAACAATCCATGTCAACTTTTCTTCTTCTTTTTTTTTTTCCTGAGGAGGACTGGCCCTGAACTAATATCTGTGCTGATCTTCCTCTATTTTATGTGGGATGCTGCCACAGCGTGGCTTGATGAGTAGTGCTAGGTCCATGTCCGGGATCTGAACCTGTGAACCCTGCACCTGTGAAGTGGAGCATGAAAACTTAACCACTACCCCTCTGGGCTGGTCCCTAGCTTTTATTCTTGAGGGCAGCATAGGTAAGGGGAAAAAAGATGAAGGACAGGAGAGTTCTGCCTCTCCTAAAGCTGTGTAATACTCACGGTTTTACTATAGCAGGAAGAATTTATTTGCCTAAGGATCTCAGATCCTTGTTGAAATAAAACAAGATTTTTGGTAAACTTTAAATAAACTAGAAAATGTATCTTAATCTGAAACCAGATTTCTGCTTTCAAAATCAACTGTTATATGTTATTATTATTTTTAACATGTAGATTTGCTTAAACTATTATTTTACTGAAAATAATACTATTATTTTATTGAAAGAGAAATATACACGTGGTAAAAAGGAATCAAGCAGTATGACTCTTAGCCAATATGGTGGGTGAAAAATGATACCTTGTTTTCATTTGCACTTTTTAAATGATGAATGAAGATGAGCATCTCTTCCAATGTTTAAAAGCTTTTTCTGTGAACTGCCTATTCACATCTTTTGTCCATTTTTTTCATGCTTACGTTGTTGGTATTTTTCTTATTGTGTTGTGAGAGTTCTTCATATGTGAAGGAAATTAGCATTTTGTCTATCACAACTGTTTTAAGTATTTTTCTGGTTTTTTTTTTTACCTTGTTAAAGATATCTTTTCCATGAAGAAATTTTTAATCATTTAATGTTCTTTTTTTTATGATCTCAGGGTTTCATGTCTTTTTCCCTTCTGATTTTAAATAATTTCTCCTAATAATTTATGGGCAATGCTTTTTAGGTTTGCATCTTTTCTCCATTTGGGATTTGTTTTGGTGTACAGAATTAACTAGAAATCCGGCTTCGTTTTCTCTAGATGGCCAGCCAGTCTTCCCAGCACCATTTGCGAACAAATTCTTGTTCTCCTCTGATCTGAAACGTCATCTTCATCATACTCTAAGTTTTCAGTTTTTAGGTTGATTTCTGAGCTCCCTTTCCTGAGTCACTGGTTTTGCTATCTCCTCATGGTCCAGGACCAACCTATTTTAATTAAATAGCAGCTGTGTTAAATTAAAAGTACCCAATTATTTGTCTCCTATTAGATTTGCAAAGATAATAACTTACATTTATTGGCACTTGCATTGAACCCTATTCAATTGCTGATTTTTGACTTTTTTGACTGTTTTGACTGATTTTGACCTTAAAATTGTTGATTTCATATGGCTTAATCTGATCTATTCAGGTACTTTCCTAAATGCTTTACAAATATTAATTCACTGAATCCACACAACAGCTCATCAAGCAAATATTATTGTGATCCCATTTAAAGATGTTGGAACTGAAACACAGAGAGATTAAATGATTTGCTCAAGGTCACACAGCTAGAAAGCGGCAGAACTGTGATTCTAATTGAGGTAGTCTGATGCCATAGCCTACACTCTTAACTACCATACTTTGAAGGCTCTGCTAAAAAAGGGGGGGGTGGGGCGGAGAAACTGTCAATTAGCAGTGTTGGCAAGGATGTCAGAAAAATAAAGGCACTCATTAAATGTATAAATTGCTACACATTTTCTAGGCAATAATTCGTTGATGCGCATCAACATTTTAAATACACATTCCTTTAACAGAAATTTGACTTCTAAGAATTTATCCTAATGATCTAAGAGTTCAGAAACACAGAGGAGTGTCTATTAGATATTGACTACTGCATTGTCTATAATGGTGAAACACTGGAAGTAACCTAAATGTCCATCAAAAGCGGATTGGTTAGATAAATTATACTACATCTATACAATGCAGCCAACAAAAAGGATCATGGGTATCTAAATTCTCTGACATAGAAGCCACCTGGGTCCATTATGGAACCCCTAGGATAAAGCTTTTCTAGTCACAGGGCTGGCCTTACATGGAGATGAAATTGGTGCTTGCCTGGTAATGACATTTGAGATTCAGAGAAGCTCCCTGCCCACCTTCACTTCAAATTACCACTCCCACTCATGCCTGACATTCTCCCACAGCCCTTTAGGTTGATCTTTGCTCCCCACACTCCTGCCTCTCCACTGCAGTGATATTGTGGGGAGCTGTAACTAATCATCTCTAGCTGCTTATGGTGAAGGTGGTGGTTGCTTTCCTTTCAAGAGAATGGACAGTGGCAGCATGACAGCATCAACGACTTTAATAAGAGCCTAAAACACAGAAACAAATAAAGGGAAAAGGAGGAGAGGAAGCTAAAGTTTGCTGAGCACCTTCTGAGGACAGAAGAACCCCATCTCATGTGTGGGTGAGATTCCAAAGCAAGCATGTCAGGCAAAAGTGCATATGGTCAAAAAGAATCTTGAAAATTCCTTAAATCACTCAGAAAATACTATCTACATAAAGTCATGTATATATACTTTTATGATAATATGTATATATCTGTGTAAACACACACCTTGATATATTATAAAAACTACATGTAAAAAGAGTATCTCAGGATGTTTAATTACATAACAGAAAGCAAAGTAGAAAAAGGGCAAGTGTTACTGAATTTACATAAGTGAATTGTGTGTGAAATAGCTTCCACTGCGCTTTACGTAATTTAATACTTTCAGCAACACTGAAAGGTCATCACTATTAGCCTTATTTTATAGAAAACTAAGGCTCAGAAAGGTTCATTGGTTTTCCCAAAGTCACACAGCCAGGAAGTGCCAGAGACAGGACTAGCACTCAGACTTACCTGGCTCCAGGGTCAGTTTTTCCCACTTCACCACAGTACCACTCTTCCTGATTCTAGGCCCAACAAGGGTCAGGAGCCCCCTCAACTTACGAATTTCATGATTTTGTCCTAAATTGGCCCTTGCCTTGTCTATATGAATGTTTAATACATATGTTTAACATGAATGTTTAATTGCTATGCAACAAATAACCTCATGGTGTCATTTATAAGAAGATAGAGTGAGAAGCAACCTGTCTAACAAACCCACATTCACAAATCACCTCAAAATTAGCATTTGGGAACAAAATAGAGCCCTTTTTAATGTTCCCTTTGAGTTCACTATTTCTTAACACTTGCTTTCCACCCAAAATTTGGATGGATTTTAGGCTCAAATATGAACCCCAGAGACTAAGCTGGAGACAGAAAATATGATGACTTTTGCCCATGTGGACCAGGAGAACTGGAAGTTAGCCTCTGAATAAATCTTGGAGCATTACAGAGCTGCCCTGTCCATAAGTGATGACCTAGGAAACTCTTCTCTCTGGCCAGGGGAAGTGGATGTGGCAGCTTGCCATCTGTCTGAGACTTTGGGTGTTAAAAAAATCTACCACTTGTGAGAAATCAAAGCCCAAGACCTGGACTTTACACTATCTGTGCGCTGCAGGAACTCTAAGCATATAAGGTAAAAAGTCAACGTAAGAACTAGCCAGGGCCATTGACACCCTCAGGGGTATGACAGAACCAAACAGGAAGCTGCTCGGTTGAGACACTTCCACTGCCAAGTGCTCATGAGAAATTCACAGCAAGAACAATTCCCACTGAAGATGAGTTTACAACCAAAAATTCACATCATGTGATTTGATTTATACCACTCTTAGAAAGAGGTGGCAGCCACAACAAATAGGAGACTATTTCAGAATTGGAAATAGTCAGCCAAACTGAAGGTTGGTGAGAATTGTTGCTTTCACATAGCATTTCACATGGTCGATTTATAGGACCAATGTATCAGCTAACTGGGTTTCTGTTACTTGTGGAGACTCGCTGAGGTTCTCTAAGTGGAAAAAGAAATGGCAGTCCAACTTTCCAAACAAGAGCACAGCAGGCATGAATCTGACGGGGTCAGGATAAACTCTCACAATGTGGAGAGTAGAATTAAGGGTTCTTCCACACCCGGGAATCCGCTTAGAGTCAGAAGCATGGGTCTCAGCCGTGTGCTACATCATACCTTGCTCCAAACAAGTGAGAGGATTATGATGAGGAAGGAGTCATGATGAAGCAAGAATAGAAGATTTTCTCTTCATGTTTCTATATTCTATCAAAGGGAGGGTGAAAATGTATTTTCCAAATTCGTTCTTTATTTAGTAAAATGAAACAAATCACCGTCCACTTTTCTGTGAACTGGAAAGAGAATCAAAGAGTATTTGAACCGATGGTTTATTTTTATTTCTCTCTGGGGGGTAATTTTTCCAAAAATAGTTGTAACTTGGTTGTGTTCGTGGGAGGAGGGGAGTTCAGAGTCCACCTGCATTGCCATCTTGACACCATCCTGCCTTATTTTTATGTGTAAAAGACAAACCGCTGGAAGCACTCGGTTAATTTTAACCAAGTTATTTATACATGATCTCAAGAAAAAATTTTAGACACACTGATTGCTAATAAATTTGAAGAGCAAGTACTTTGAGAGTAACTGACAACTAAATTCAGAAAAAAATATTTTATTCCACAATAATTCTTTGTGCTTAAAACATAAGCTCGCTATTAAATTATGCAGTTGTTTCCCTCACTGACATCAAAGGATTAGGATATGTTATCAAGGTTACCTGACACAATTATACTTCATGTTCTTGCTGAAATGATTATGACCCAACGACACAAGAAGAATTTCAACTTTTCTTCCTTAGCTGGAGGTAGCTTAAATAAATGTCTCTATTCCTAGCTTTTCAGTGACAGAAACTTGAAAACCATTAGGCCTGGCAGCCAAAGCAAATGGCCTTGGAACTGGTCCAGGATAATGGTTCAGTTGTGGGATCAGAGACTAACTTGTTTTTCAGGCTCTGCATCACCCACTCCATCCACTCTACCCCCAGGTCACGGGGTCATTCACACTGCTGCTCTGCCCTCAAGGCCCCTCCTAGGGGGCATTTGGAGGCTTACTGAATCTGGTTTCTCTGGAAACAAATACGTTTATTTTTATAAGTAAATATATATTTTTTAAAATAAGATGTCTTTAAAAAAGAATTTTCTCATTGGGAAATACTTTACTCACGTACTGAGAGTACTATGAAATTAGTCCTGGTTTGTTAGAAGCAAGCATTAGTTTTAAATATAAGTTGTGGGGCTGGCTCCGTGGCCGAGTCGTTAAGGTCACGAGCTGTGTTTTGGTGGCCCAGGGTTTCACCAGTTCGGATCCTGGGTGTGCACATGGCACTGCTCGTCAAGCCATGGTGAGGCAGCATCCCACATGCCACAACTAGAAGGACCCACAAGTAAAAATGTACAACTATGTACTGGGGGGATTTGGGGAGAAAAAGGAAAAATAAAGTATTTAAAAACAAATAAATATAAGTTGTTGCTAAATGTCCATCTTAGGGGATAAGTAAAAAAACGTTGTTACATTTACATAACAGAAGACTAATATTAACACAAAGAAAAGATAAGGAGACTTTTAATATACAGATGCAAAAACCTCTCCAAGATATATTGTAAAACAAAGCAAAACAAAAGCAAGTTGCAAAAACAATGTGTATAACAATGGAATGTGAAGCATCAATGGGAATGAATGAATTGCAACTGCATCTGTCAATGCAGAAGAATCTCACAGACACCATGTTGAGCGAAAGGAGCCAGACACAATCTTATCGAATCATTCCATTCATATAAGGTACACAGACTGCAAAAGTAACCTGTGCTGTTAAAAGCCAAGGCTACCTCATTTATAAATAGTACGAAGACAGCAAAAATGCAACCCCTTGAGGGATGTAGTGACTGGAAGGGACATCAAGGAGGGCCCTGGGGTTCAGGTAATGATGGTTCTTGATCTGAGTACTGGTGGCATGAATGTGTCCAGCATACGAAAATTAATTGAAGTGTGTCCTTTTTTAAATGTAGGTTTCTAAAGTGTGCCTAGGATGCTACCATTTGTGCAGAAAACATTTCTGAAAGTATAATAAGAAACAAATTACCTCTCTGTTTCTTGTGAACAAGCAAACTGTATTCTTGGGAGAGAGACTGGGTGGCTGGAGGACAGAAACAGGAGGAAATTTTCCCATTACGCCCTTTGATACATTTTGATGTTTGAATCATTTGAATGTATTACCTATTCAGAAAATTACCTTTCTTCAATAGTTTTTTGTTTTGTTTTTTGCTGAGGAAGATTAGCCCTGAGCTAACATTTGTTGGCAATCTTCCTCTTTTTTTTTTTCGCTTGAGGAAGTTTCACCCTAAGCTAACTTCTGTGCCAATCTTCCTCTATTTTGTATGTGGGTCACTGCCACAGCATGGCTGACAGTGGTGTAGGTCTGTGTCTGAGATCTGAACCCGCAAACCTAGGCTGCCAAAGTGGAGCATGCCACACTTAACCAGTAGGCCATGAGGCCAGCCCTCAATAGTTTTGTTTTTTTAAAATTATTTTTAAGGGTAAGTTTACACTGGGCATGCTGCCCAATACAATCATGTTTTTATAAACTTGATTCCTTACTTAGGAATTTACACCACCCAAGAGTGCATCATCATAAACTGTGGCCGGGATACCTTAGTTTAAAAATTGCTGCATTCTGAGGTAACTGGTTCTCCAGGGGAAGAATCTGCTACATTCAAATTGTCAACGTAAAAACGATTTTCACGGCAGAGTCTTCAGCATCTTGTTGAAGTTGAGGAAGAGAATGTTTTAGACAATGAAGACCATTTCAAGAAGCTGAAGAGCAATTGGGATGCAGGTTGTAATGGAATTTCATTTAATGCCCTTTGAAAAGCAAAGCTTGTCCTGCTCTCCATGTGTATTTGAATCTGTCAGGAACCCCAACAGACCAGTTTTGTACTCTGTGTGGATGCCTGCCTGTGGGTCTGTGTTATTTCCAGTTTGAGTCCAAGCTCCTGTCATCATTAAGATCGTCACATGCCGTGTGAGTTGGTGGAGTGGTCCATCTGAAGTCTCCCTGACTTCCATGAGGGGCTGAGGAACCCCTTGGAGAGAACTCCTCCTAAAGGAAGAGGGCACCAGACAGAATAAGTTTGTGCAGAGGAGAGACGTCATCTTGAGTAGAGTTTGGTGGCTGCCCCTCAGCTTGGTGTCTCAGCCCAGGATCCCCATATATTCGTGTCTGAGTCCTATGGGGCAATAACTAGAGAGCTTTTCATTAAAGAACACTCACTCAGTTAAACAAAACAAAACCTCTGTGGGACAGTGAGAGAATATAAGCCACATTATTTGTATCAGTTTCCTGAGGCTGCGATAAAAAATGACCACAGACCGGTGGCTTAACGCCAAAAAAATTTATTGTCTCCCAGTTCTAGAGGCCAGGACTCTGAAATCAAGATGTCAGCAGGACCACACTCCCTCCAGAGGCCCTAGGGCCTTGCCTCTTCCATCTTCTAACGGCTACCCCAGCAATTCTGGGCTTGTGGTCACATCGTTGCAAACCTCTCCATCTTCACCTTGCTTTCTCATCTGTATGTCTGTGTCTCCGTTGTGTGTCTATCTTATAAGGATACATATGACTGCACTTAGGGCCTACCAGGTAGTGAAGGATAAGCACCTCCGCTCAAAATCCCTGAGCCACATCTGCAAAGACCTTTTTTCCCGATAAGGTAACACTCACAGATGCCAGGAATTAGATGGAGATATCTTTTGGGGGGCATTTTTTGGCCTACCACATGACGCTTACACACTAATAACAGATTAAAATCCACAAGGGGGGACAAAGTGCTCACACCCTATTTTGCCCTGCACTTCAGGGTGACAGTGCAGGACACTGGCAGCAGAGTCCAGGGACATAACATGAGGCTCCGGGAGAAACTCCCTGCGGGCATCCAGAATTATTTAAGATGAGCATGGAGGACTTTGCAGGGAGTGGGGTCCTGCATCAGCAGGAGGGGGCAGGATCACCCTATGACCTTACTGTCTGAACAGCTTGGTAGGTGACAAACCAGTACACAAAGCCTGTGGCTGGCTTGGAGGAGGTACGAAGAGATGTGCTGCCTTCTCTAGCTGTAGCTGTTAATCCGACAGGTCAATCCATCTGAGGGACCCAAGCCCCGCCTCTCGTGTTGCGGTGTGCCCTGCCTCAGGGCGAACAGCCAGCTTAGTACTTGTCAAGGCTTCACTGCCCAGCCCCAGGCAACTTGATCCCTCAAGCTGGTTCTGGGTCTGGACGGTGTGTTCCAGGCCCAGCCTAAGGGCCTGTTTCAAAGGTCACCCCTGTGGTATCTCAAACCAGCTTGGGCTCTGCGACATGTAGGATGGAAATGGCCCAAGGCCCAGCATGTACACCAGACAGAGGCAGTTCAGGGGGTATGCATAGGTACATACCAAGGCGTAGTGCAGCAGGGTCCCCTGTACCGAGGCCTTGCAGGCAGCGGCGGCATATCAAACAATCTGAGAGTTATGGTCAGGGGAAGGGGTACAGGTAGGGCTGGATGGGGTTTGGAAATGGTTAAATACTTGCTGAGTGTCTGTGGGCAAGTCTTGAGATCTCTACGTAGAACCTGAGCTTTATTTTTGTTTTGTTTTGTTTTGAAGGAAGTACAAGTACAAATTGCGTTGTCTTCTTCCCTGCTGGCCTGCCTGACTACTCTGCTACTTGACAGAATCCAGTGCACCTCCTCCAGACACTCACCAAGCAGCTGGGGAGTGTCCTGCCACCTCGGCCATCCTAGTCCATCCTGTCAATGTGAAACACCTGCTCAGGCTGTCATGCAGCAGGACCAGCGCGCAGAGCGAGGTCTGGCCTATCTGGAGCCGTGGGTTTGGCACTGAAGTTGGAGAGACCCTTACAACGGAAAGGCTGGGGTGGGGACTCAGGGGCTAACGGCCAGGGTTTGCCTTTCGGTGATAAGATAGGGAGGGAGGTGGGCTTATTGCAAACAATTGGGTTTTATTTGCTGGGAGCCTGCTCAGCTCTTCACTGAGGAGGATGAACCTAATGTTTTCTGGTTTTTTTAAAAAAAATATGGTTGTTTGTTTTGGGCTCCAGCTTCCTGCAGTATCAGTTTCTGTCAGACCAGTTTGTTAAAAAAGCACTTTGAGTAAATACCAGAGGCCAGGATGAAAGTAAAATAGAGAGACTTGAAAAAATGTTCTGTTTTTACGTAACTTGAATTTATTTCCCACTCAGGGTTAAACAAAGTTCTCTTCAGAATAAAGAATGCCGGGGGATGGCCCGGTGGTGCAGCGGTTAAGTTCGCACGTTCCACTTGGCAGCCCGGGGTTCGTTGGTTCAGATCCCGGGTGCGGACATAGCACCACTTGTCAAGCCATACTGTGGTAGGCATCCCACATATAAAGTAGAGGAAGATGGGCCCGGATGTTAGCTCAGGGCCAGTCTTGCTCAGCAAAAAAGAGGGAGGATTGGCGGCATATGTTAGCTCAGGGCTAATCTTCCTCAAAAAAAAAAAAAAAGCCCATTGGCTGGAATAGGGAGTTTTGGAACCGAGGGAGAAATGGTGATAACCTTGAAGTTGGAGACCCGATCCTGTGGCATTGAAGGCATTTGATTGCATTTATGGGCTTGAAAACACAGGAGAGTTGTACCTTTTGTTATATAGTAGCTATGTTCCTGAAAGTTTATATGAAAAATTTCTAAACTGGTTCTTATGCACAATGCAATAGGTGAGCTCAAAGAAAGACACTTACCAGAAAGTCTTATACTGTGAGTCCCTTGCAGGGCCAGGACTAGGGTGAGGCTAGTACGGGGATGCCCAAAACACTTTGCAATCAATTTGAATAACATGTTAATGCAATCTTTTAACAAATCAAAATTAATGCAAAAAGTCCTTGATGAACAAATTATCAAAAATTTAAGTAAAGACAGGATGCGTCCCTGCCTCATTCTTCTCTGGGTTTCAAGCACCTGCAATTGTTTCAAGTGGAGCTAAGGCTACTTCCTCTCTGAGTGAGAGATGGAGAGAAATTTATAGGTAACAACCCCCATGATGCCCTCATCACTCACCAGCTTGCTAAAAATGACCCCACCCTTTTGCCCGCACTGCACATAAACACCATAATGACTGCTCATGTATTCAGTGACTGTTGAGGTTTTTATTGCATGTTTTTAATATCTCTATTAGTGTTGCCTAGATTAACTTGAAAGCCTTTCTGAGATAGACTTTCAACGGAAGTTTACAGTGGCCCTCACAAACAGAAGTACGGGCTAGACGATGGTGATGATGATCAGTAACATGCTAGCAACCACTAGACATAGAGTAAAATTGCTTTCCTCAAACCTGCATGCAGGACCACCGTGTGATGAGCAATGGGGGGATCCAGGGGGTTCAGAGGCAGAAATGAAAATGGGAGGTTAAATCCATTTTGACCATATGTGTGAGCCTGGATTGACGTTCTAAAGTACCACCACTGATGTATTTACTTTCTTCTTTGTTTCCTTTTGCCCAATGGGAAGGAAGTCCCTCTCCCTGGGCAGACGCTACTCTCCTGGAGGACCAGCCATGCAATGATGAACGAAAGAGTGGGGTGCCAGGTGTTTTCCTTTCTATCCCACCAGATCCACTTTCCGCCCCACTCTGTGCTTTAGTAGGCTGACCTTTCTGAACTGTTCCAGCAAGGATCTCAGGTGCTCTGTCTTTAAGTTGGATTAGGAAAATGGGAGGCAACAGCAGGAGATCAGAGATGGGAGAAGAGAGGTTGGGGTATTTAGTTCCCTGGCTCCCTTCTGACTGGGTTTGAGATTGATTCTTTCTCTACTGAATGCCCCAGCTGGTCAGTCCTTCTCTTCTGCTCTCTCTGAGCTTTGTAACCACTCCCTTCCCCTATCTCTTTAAAGATTGACACCTGAGCTAACAACTATTGCCAATCTTTTTTTTTTTTCGCTTTTTCTCCTCAAATCCCCCCAGTACATAGCTGTATATTTTAGTTGCAGGTCCTTCTAGTTGTGGCATGTGGAATGCCACCTCAGCGTGGCCTGACAAGTGGTGCCATGTCGGCGCCCAGGATCCGAACCAGTGAAACCCTGGGCCACCAAAGTGGAGAGCATGAACTTAACCACTCAGTCACGGGGCTGGCACCCTCCCCTGTCTCTTTAGACTCAGGAGTACCGTAATGTTCTAGTCCTGGGGGCCTTCAGTATCCCTTGTTGGTTTCCCTTAACCTCACCCATACCTTTGCAAATGGCCTTTTATTAAACTCTCCCCATTGCTCTCTGTTGCTGCAGCATCTGTCTGTTGCAGGACCCTTACTGATCTAAGTCGTAGACGCCTATCACCCAGCAAACGTGGAGTACTGTCCAGGCCTCAGGACCCTTGGCTGTGGCAGTTGCCTTTCCACATGGAGAATAAAGCAGCCCTGCCTGGCTTTTCCTGGCTTTAGATCCTGTGCACAAAGTGCACCTGTGAATAAGCAAGCTGCAGGAAGTTTAAAGAATGGATAATTCCCATTAGCATCATCTCTGCCTTTTTGGATTTAAAATATTTATTCAAGAAAGAGAAGCTTGATCTCGTTCCCAAGGACGACATCCAATCAGCTGCCGCTGAGAAAGAAAAGCCGTTGGTCAGCATAAATAAATACAGCTTAAGCAACTGTATTACTATTAAGCTTTCTGCCATGTTCCAAAACACCGAGAAGTGCAGAGACTTCAGGCCCTGGACAAGATGTTCTGTACCTCTGCCGCTGAGAGGTTGACAGGCCAGAGGGCTTTGCTGTGCTCCCTGAGGTACAATCCGCATCCTCCTGCACTTTTTAACTTGGTGTCTCATACCTAATGGCTCCCAGAACCCCCCAACACTGCTGCTGGTGAAGGAATCTATACACTCAGCCTTTTATACTGGGGCATTTAAAAAAAATTTGGGGGCTGGCCCCGTGGCCTCGTGGTTGGTTTTGGTGTGCTCCGCTTTGGTGGCCCGGGTTTGGTTCCAGGCGTGGACCTACACCATGGGTCAGCAGCTACGCTGTGACAGCAACCCACGTGCAAAATGGAGGAAGACTGGCACAGATGTTAGCTCAGGGAAAATCTTCCTTAACAACAAAACATGGAGTGGTGAGTTTTAATGTGGCACAGGGATTGTGGGCAGCAGCCAGCCCTGGAAAGCAGTGGAATCAAATACTGCATGTGAAAGCCGGGCGTACAGGGTCTGGCCTGTCAGAGGTGCTTCATCAGTACTAGCTCATCCTGACTGAAGGCAGGCCTTCTGGAGCAGGAAGCAAGGGGATTCTAATTTCCTTTTAGAATGAGTGCCACTTCTCAGGTCGGTTTCTTTGTTTTTTAACCAGAGTTCTCACAAGCAGCAATATCAATAGACTTGCTTTCCTTTTCTTCCCCAGGCTGGCACCGAAAGTGCTAATGAGTAAAATAAAAATGGATCATTTGGAAAATTAATCTATGTGCTAACGGTCAGAATGATGGATACTTTCAGGTGGTAAAGAGTATGCATGTGTGTGTGTTTGTAAATTCAAGCTCTACACAAGGTTTTTGCACTTTATGTAGATTATACCTCAATTTCCTTTTTAAAAGTGGGTCACATAAGACAAGCTACCTGATGCTGATACTGTGTATAAAGAAGTGTTTCCTTCTACTCTTACCTCTGCCATGGATCTCCCTTCCACACTGCTGACCACTGCCTAAAACTCCAATATGTAATCCACTTAATAGAATTAAAAAAAAAAAAAAAGTCACAGATTCACGGTAAGTTGCAAAAAAAAAAAAAAAAAAAAAATACAGGGAAGTCCTGTGCATCCTTCCTTTTTGCTCCCCCAGTGTTGGCATTTTGCATGACTAAGGTATGATACCAAAACCAGGAAACTGACATTGGTACAAGCCACAGAGCTTATTTAGATTTTATGTTACATGTGCATTTATGTGTGTGTGTGTTGTTTGTAGTTCTATGCAATTTTTTCACATATAGATTCATGTAACCACCACCTCATTCAAGACACAGAACTGTTTCACCACCACAACACTTGATAGGATCCTAATAGGAGGAAAAGTAGTATTTGCAGTCCTCTCCCAACAGAGAGAGGTCCCATGGTTTATTTCTAGTTCTGTAGTATACTGAGTGGAGTGATGACTGGAGAGAAGAACAGAGACATCTTGTTTCCCCTGATGACTGTTGCTGACCTAGGGGTGGGTGTGTAACCTGGCTGGGCATTCAGCCCAATCAGACTGAGCAGAGGACGACGAGTCTGTGGTTGGAGAGACATTTGCTGTCCTTCTCACTGGCTCTTCCGCATACACCTCTGATTCTCCAGGTAAGCCTCCACCAGGAAGCCTGCAGTACAGCTCTCATGATTTTAGGAGGTAACTTATGATCCTAAGGAAAACTAACCTTGGGATGAAGCTGAGAACAGAAGACTGGAGGAGTAGAAGGAGCCTGAGTTCTTGAGGACATCATTGAGAAGTTGATCTACACAGTTACTGGAGCCCATCCTAACTCTGGGCTTACCCTATAGTGACACAGTGAGATCTCTTATGATTTTAGTCACTTTAAGTCAGGATATTCTGTTTCTTGCAGTCAAAAGCAAATAACTCAAGAGCATCTACAAAAACTCCACAGCTAATATCATATTTAATGGTGAAGACTAAATGCTTTCCCCCCCAGATCAGGAACAAGCAGGATGTCCATTCCCACTACTTCTATTCAACATTGCACTGGAGTTCTAGCCTGGGAAATTAGGCAAGAAAAAGAAATATAACTCATCCTGATTAGAAAGGAAGAAGTAAAACTGTCTCTATTCAAAGATGACATGATTTTGTATATAGAAAATCCTAAAAAGTACACACATACACACAAAAAAACTATTAGCATTAATAAACATGTTCAACAATGTTGGAAGATACAAAATCAATATATAAAAATCAATTATATTTCTATACACTAGCATGAACAATCCAAAAACGAAATTGAGAAATCACTTTTATTTACAATAACACCAAAAATGATAAAATATCTAGGAAATAATTTAACAAAGGAGGTGTAAGACTTGTATACCGAAAACCACAAAACGTTGTTGAAAGAAATTAAAGAAGACTTAAATAAATGGAAAAACTTCCATGGTTATGGATCAGAACGCTTAGTGTTGTTAAGATGATAATACTCCCCAAATTGATCTACAGTCAACGCATTCCC